TTTTTCCTACTTTCATATACACTTTGATCTAATTCACATATATATATTTCTTAGTTCTGTCCCATATTTAACATGTTGACAAGGCTCCCTAACCCTCAGAAGCAGGCTTACTGAGGAGCAAGATGGGGGTACAAATGAGGTGAGGAGAAAAAAAACTGTATAGGGAAAGAATAAAGTCACATTCTATGAATGAAAGAACTATTTCATTCATGGAAAAAATAACTAGGTTCCAAGCCGGTATACTCATGTAAATACAGAAATCTTATACCAGCTTAAAATGTATTTTACGGATAATAACTCATACAAAATCCTATATGTCACATCAATACCGTGGAATTCAATTAAAGAACATTTAATGGTTCCCTAATCCAGAATGTATTAATATAAATTGATGCTCAATAACCAGAAAATCATTGCTTCATGCCTATATTAAAAGGAGCAGAATTTCAAGATAAACCAGATTACTGTTTTTGTAAAAAGGAGCAACATCAGAGTTAAAAGTTCTCAAGGCAGCTGAAATTAAATGGATATGTAAACCGCTAAAATTACCTCCTTTTGAATGGAAGAATAATTAGATGTTTGTCTAAACCAAACATTCCAAAAGAAATGAATCCCTGAAAAAGAAAAAAGAAAATACTATAATATTTGGATGAACAATTGTATACAAATTCCTAAAATTAAGTTTTTAATTCTAATGAAAAGACAGAATAGAAATCTGTTTTACAATGCTTATATTTATTTAAATAAAATCCAGAGTACAGCATGGATCAAGCCCAAGAAATGGAAAAATACTTAAGGCATCAATACCCAATACTGTGATTTTTAAAGTCAGTCAAAAATATTCTTTCCTTTCAATGTCTCTCCTCTCATATCACAGTTTCCTAAACTGTATGTTTATCTCGGCTAGGGTTATTACAGTTTCTTAATTTTCCATGCTTCCTTTTATAATGAGACATACATGACTTACAAAAACAAAACAAAAAAAATGGGCAAACGGGTAATCCTTGCTTAACCACAATTGGGAATGGCAGTCATTAAGAGAGACATCGTGCAACTGTGATGGACTTACCACCTCACTTCATTAAGCAAATCACCTGTAGTCATTAAGTGAGACATTACACAACCATGACTTGTGATTTGGCTGCTGGCTTTTTCAACTGACTCTCGTTTTTAGAAGCTTGCTTGAAAGCACACTAATGAGGATCATGTGACTGTGGGACACTGTAACAATTTTAAGCATGAGGTCTGGTCATAAAGGGCTTTGGATGGATGCTAAACAGGGCAGTTGTTAAGGGAGGAATACCTGTATTGCTGGACGGAGAATTTAAGAACGTAAGAAAACTAAGGGCTATGAACCAACTGTAATGAACAGTGTATTTTGAAAAGCAACAACAAGCAATTTGGCAGGCACGTTAACATTAAAGAAATAAAAATAATGTCTCAAGAGAAGATAATGCAATTAAAATAAAGCTGAAGCTCTCAGAAAGCATTTTACTTCCATAGGAAAGAATAAAGGTAAGATTATTTAAGGAACAAGCCTGTGACTCTTCCCATGCTGCCATGTTTTCAGGAAGCAGATTGCTTATGTGCTTGGAGTTTTTTTCTTATCGAATTACCTTTTCAGTGCAATTTTAACAGTATGTGAGAATGACCTTGGGGGAATAAGGGGAAGAGAGAGGCCAGGGAAACAATAAGATGAAAAGGAGGAGCCCCCAGTGACTTAATAGTCAGAAGATAAAACTTAGGAAGGACCTGCCCTAACTGAATGGGTGGTTAAAAGTGGTGACAGGAGATCTGTCCATTTAGAATAGATTTTGAAAGATTCTGTTAATGTAGCCTTACAATAAGATAGAACTAACTCATCTAGTTAGTTCTACCTTATTGTAAGGCTACATTAACATAACATCTAGTTATGTTTCCTGTCTGGTTTACCTGGGAAGGCTGAAAGCAATTTAATTAGCACAAGAGTATTATTTCAGTTCCTAGTTAAATTTCACTAGAGCATTTTAGTGGGATGTCAGCTTGACTTTAACATATTAGGGAGAAGACCAGTTGAAATCCTTCATTTTGACCATCTAGATCAGTTAAATCTGCATTCTCTTGGAAAACATTTTCTCTGGATGGATGGCTTCTATTAATGAAACATCCCTAACTACTGACATGGATTATTTTCCCCTTTAAACAAGTGGACAAGCAAAATTTGTCAGTGCACAATGAGCAGTTTTAATTTTATCAAATTTAAGGTAAGAAAATAGGCCAAAAATAAGTCAGGCACTTTCTCTCTATTCCTTACAAACATATTCCAGTCTGTAATGTACACATTTATATATGGGTTCAATGAGACGTGCTGTTAAATACGTATGGACAAGTTCGCATTATTAATTTGAGACAAGAGGAGAAATATTTACCTGACCAAAATTAAATACAGCACAGAAAAACTGCAGTTCCACATAGAGCCTCCCAGGCTCCTGGTTAAATAACCACCACAAGCAGCTTGATAGGTTCTGTAAAGGAAAAACCAAATGAACACGTACTACCATGAGTATCTTGTTGCTACAACTTTCACTGGTATTTCTCCTGGATTATAAAACAGATTTTTTTTCCCACCAGAACTCTTCAAGTTTAGTGAACTGCCCCGGTAGACTACTATTACTAAAAACAAGAGTTTACAGCAGGTCTGAACCACCTTTCTGGAGAGGGGTAACAAGACCATGACAATACATAGTTCTTATACATTTTCTTTCTGCAAAAAGAAAGCGGACGAGCATACCGCTGTAGTTGGGCAGTTGCTGCCAGTAAACAATCTTCTAAAATGACACACACTTCGAGAATTACCTACCCTTTGTTTAGGGAGATCGTGTGGAATGGCTTTGCCAACATAACTGTAGTGACAGGTGGAAGTACAATGATTACAGATGCAATTGTCTACTGAATCACTGATTCTTAAGTCATAGGAAGCTTCCGTACATCATTAGACAATTGGCCTAGTATCTAATTCAACATTGCCTAAATCAGGGGTAGGCAACCTTGGCTCTTTTATGACTCGTGGACTTCAACTCCCAGAATTCCTGAGCCAGCCATGCTGAGGGAAAAGGGAAAGGTTTCCAAGCTGAGCCATGCTGGCTCAGGAATTCTGGGAGTTGAAGTCCACGAGTCATAAAAGAGCCAAGGTTGCCTACCCCTGGCCTAGATGAAAGGTGAAGAACCTTTCGCCTTTCAGATGCTATCAAAATGTAACGCCCAGCATCCTTTACCACTGGCACGTTGGCTGAGACCATCAGAAATGGAGTTCAACGTTTGGAGATCTACTGATGACTCATCTCTTGTCCACAAAAAAACCACTTTTGAAACAGGCTCTTCACACCTCTATCTAGATCTGCCAGATATAAATCTGTGATTTTCTGCGGGTCTGGGTATATTCAATTACCTCCATTGCCTTGTTTAGCATCAGGCTGCTGTGTCAAAGTAGATTGCAATAGGCTCTTAGAAAAGATGGCAGCTCTAACAAATGTCCCATTCCTAGATCAAGGGACCTTACGGTCACTCATGCCCTGATCACCTCCTGATTGCGCTACTGCAATATGCTCTATATGGGGCTGCCCTTGGAGAGAATCCAGAAACTTCAGCTGATACAAAATGCAGCAGTATGAGCAGTTATGTCTGTTTCTGATAACTCCTCTGCTGCGTGAGCTGCATTGGTTACCAGTTTGTTTCTGGCTCCAATTCAAGGTGCTGGTGTTAATCTTTAAAGCCCTACCTGGCAGAGGGCTGGTTATTTGAGGAACCACCTCTTCTGGATTTCATCTGCCTCTCCCTCCAGATCCCATGGAATACATGTGCTATGAATTCCATTATCAGGAGAGCTACATTTGGCAGGCTATAGGCCAGGGGTAGGTAACCTTCACTCTTTTATGAATCGTGGACTTCAACTCCCAGAATTCCTGGGCTGGCTCAGGAATTCTGGGAGTTGAAGTCCACAAGTCATAAAAGAGCCAAGGTTGCCTACCCCTGCTCTAGGTTATGGCACCTGCATTGTGAAATCTTCTCCCCCAAGAGATAAGGCCAGATTCATCACTCCTGATCTTTGGAAGGTCCCTCAACACCTGGTTCTGCTGGCAGGCCTGGCGACTCCAGGGGATGAGTGAACTTGTGAGGTAACTCCATTATTATTAGCATCCCTCCATCTGTTATTTTCTTCTCCAATTTTAGTTCTGTTTTATAGTTTAATGCTTTATAATTATTATTATTATGTAACACTTTTAGGTAATGGATTGTTTTATCCAATTAGCATTTCATTGGATTGTTGTACCAGAGTCATTTTCTATGACATGGGCGACCATATAAAATTGATTAATAAATAAATCAAATATAATGATTTAACTTCTTTAGAAATAACATTACGCTAGTAGCTGATACGAAAAACACACTTTGTGATGGAGAGTAAGATAAAACAACCACACATCAAGAATCACACGTTTGCAACTCCCACCAAAGAAACTCTTACAGCAAAAAGGCCCACAATGAGAAGCAGGCACAGCAGCACATGTCTGGCCAGCTGTTGGTCTCCCGTTTGCAGAAGCTGTTCTTCCTGAGCCAGGACACACCTCTGAGAACTGCACGGACTCAAACACTGGTTTGCTGAAAAACATTTAAGTGTTAACACGTAAGGCATAAACACAACACTGAATCCCATTGTTCTCTTAACAGAAAGTCATAAGAGAAACAAGAAAATGAGAACATGATCAATTGCTCTAAATCAGGGGTAGGCAACCTTGACTCTTTTATGACTCGTGGACTTCAACTCCCAGAATTCCCATGCTGGCTCTGGAATTCTGGGAGTTGAAGTCCACGAGTCATAAAAGAGCCAAGGTTGCCTACCCCTGCTCTAAATAAACAGATACAGGCCTTGTGCATATAAGCCAAAATGCTTGGTTTAGAATCAGCATGCTTTATCTGTAAACCATAACTTGTGATAGGGATAGGCAACCTGCTGTCCATTTGCAGTCTCCCAATATTCTAGATCAACCCCAGACTTTATCGCTGAAATGCAATTGCTCAATTTGAATTGCTCATTTCAAAAAGAGGAAATTGAATGTTGATACAGACAAAAGGGTTGGTTCTGTTTGTGGTCAAAGAAAAAAAAATACTTTTTTTTGAAAGACTGGAAACTTCATGGACATGCATGGACATTTTGTTAAAAAGAAGAAAAGATCAAATTGATGATTTGGAGATTAAAAAGGAATGAAGAGGTTGGGGAAAAGATTAAGATGGCATTTATTTGATAAAAAAGATGAAAGGCGTAATTGTCTGTTTTTCTTTTTTCATTTCCTTTCTTTTTTTCTCTTTATCTTACTTTCTAACATTTGTTGCTGTTTTGTGTACTTTTAGTATATCGAAGAGAGACAGAGAGATGGTTCTGTTTGCTTGCTACCCAATCCAAATCTCAGTAAAGTCACCCCTGGTATCAAATAGCAAAGAAATACAATGGTGATTTATCCAGCCTTTAATCTACACTTAAACATTTTATAACAGAATAGAGACCATTTCTGCACACAAACACTGCTTAGATCATTAGCAACATCATTGTCAACTTAGCAATGTCAATATTAACAGACGAGCATTTTTTGTGTCTACCAATTGCAGTGGTATAAAACACAGTAGCAATCAATTTTAAGTTAATGATATTTATCACTAGATGGCAGCAAAAAGCTAATAAAACTAATAAAGGCTCTTATTCTTCAGTTTCAGAAGCCCCAAATCTTGCTACTACAGGGCAGAATGGCTTCCTAATTTTATCTTCTTTTCCAAACTAGTTATCAGTCCCACCTAACTCTAGCCAATTATTCAGAACTTGCTTCCCTAAGTGTCAAAACAGGTGATGGGATTCCCCTCTTTCTTCCCTAACTGTATTGCCCATCTATAGAACCAATAAAGATTTAGAGAGCTGCAACTTGGAAGGATTTCTAACTCTAAGTAAGTCCAAGGGTCCTTAAGCTTGAATATTTCTATGAAAAAGAAGAAACAAGGCACAGTTCAGGAAGGACAAAGATTTTCTTGGATGATACCTCACTGATCTAGTTACCCTCTAATTTAAATCTAAGCCTGTATAAATAAAAGTTACATTAAGCTCTTGCTCCATGGTTACAGCATAACATCCATTTTTAAAAGAATCTATTAATATTACTAATCAGCAAATCTATCATTATTCCATTTTTTCCCCTGTTTCATGCCAAAAGTTTAATAGGGGCTTCCAATTTGCATTACACTGACTCAATGTCTTTTCTTCAGTCATTTTCACCATCTCAGCCAATTCCATCAACTTTATCAACCATTCTTCCAATTATAAGTATTAATGAATTTTTCAACCATTGAGCACATAGGAGCCTCATTGCTGTTATCATATATAAAAACAGATTACTATGTGGAATTTCCAAATTTTTATCAATCAACCCCAATAGAAATACTTCTGGTCTCAACTGCAAGTTGATCTTCAAGATTTTCTGAATTTATATATCTATTTATTTATTTTTTTGCATTTCTTCCTTGTCTCTTTACTCGGTCTGTTCTTTTTCCTGATTAAAATAGTTTTGGTTACTTTTTATCCTTCTACCTTTGAATTTAGTAAAGTATCAAAGAAAAAATAAAAAAATAAATCTAAGCCTTCATAGCCAGGATGAAGTACTGTACAAGATGATGCAATTCTCTTCTCTGCCTCTGCTATTCAAAAGGGAGGGATAAACTGCTCTTTTCCCACACCTTCTGGCGCATTTACTATCTAAATTAGCTCTTTGTTGCAACAATGTGAAACCCTTCTCCCCATATATCTATTAAATATTTACTTTATTGGCCCCAGCATATTTTCACATGTGTTCTTTAAAGGAGATAAATGCTATATTAAAAAGGAGCATTTTTCCTGTTCATATTTTATGTTGTTGGAGGCTTCATATTCTTGTAACTGTCAAGACATTTCAAAAAAAGCAATACGAAAATGCTAGGAGGGAACACATATGCTGAAGAAAAAAAATATTGGAACAAAGCCCTTTTGAATACGAATATGAAAACAGCCATGTACAGGTATCAGGTGTGCCCCTTGATTTCTCTCTAAATGTCAACTTATTATATAATAACATTAAAAATGGTGTCTACATGGGAACTAGAATCTAACTCTTGCAATATTCCTGTTTCTTGGTGATGTAAGAAATTAAGGAGGAGCAGATGTGAAGGTGGTGGAATTTACAGAAATGTCAAAATTGACTTATTTGATCAGGGATAAAACAATAAGTACTCTCATAAAAAACTGGAAAACACTTATGGACTTTTTTTTTTTATTAAAAATGGAAACAAATGTATTGACAATTTATACATTTGCTGATCAAAAAGGATTGAATATGGGAAGAAGGGAATGATGTAAATCTTAAAGAGGGAGGAGAGATAATAACTGCTGTGAAGAGGATTGGCATTCAGTTCTTTATATAACTTTTCCTTTTTTTTCATTTATAACTGTATTGTTCCTTGTACTTTTATATTTTTATTAATGTATTTTCATGATTTTCTTATATAAACATCTCATATATGATAAAATAACATGGAACATCACATAATAACATAACATGGAATGTAGGAAAGAAATTATTATATAAAGGGTTCATGACCCCATCTGCCTACCAACAGGTGAACCCTCCAAAACCAGAACAGAAATGGACCAAATTTGCTAAAATGCAAGATGGCAGCGAAAGAAAGACTAAGATTAAACATAGGCTGGGTCCAGATGATAACTACGGGGGGGAAAAAAATCCTGAAAAATATTCCCTAGGCCAGTGATGGCGAACCTTTTAGAGACCGAGTGCCCCAAAACTGGCCCTGCCCACGTTCCGCCCCCACACCGGCTCCTGCCCTGTCTACCCGCAGGCCACTCACCGCCTCCAGGGCCCGCAGCAGATCACCCAGGCAGCCCAGCAGCGCCATAGCGGCCACGCCCTCTGCCCACGCCCCGCAGTATCAACTGTGTGCGATGGGACGTGAGGGCAGAGACTTGTCCATGCTGCACTGCTTCCATGTCCTTCGCTGCACTGCTTCCATGTCCTTCGCTGCACTGCTCCCCGTGGGTCACGCTCGAGGCCGACTCTCCTCCAGGGGGGCTGCTGGTGAGGAGGGGGTCACGGGGGGAGGCGAGGCTGGGGCAACAGCACGTGTGCCCACAGAGAGGGCTCCGAGTGCCACCTCTGGTATGGGTGCCATAGGTTGGCCACCACTGCCCTAGGCCATCCCTATGGGAATCTCAGTGAGGCAAGCCTATAAGCTAGCCTGCCCTATATATGTTTCCTGGTAAAATACATGGAAAAATCCCATTGGAGGAAAATTCCACTTAGGGTTAGGGGTAGGTCACCATGAATTCGGACAGCAAAATGGACATCGCCAACAAACTCAGAGTGCTTGGTTATGGTTAGGAGGGCACTGACCTTTCTAGGCTGCCCTATCTATGTTTCCTGGTAAAATCCATGGGAAAATCCCATTGGAGGAAAATTCCACTTAGGGTTAGGGTTAGGTCAATATGAACTTGGAGAGCAAAATGGACATCGCCAACAAACTCGGAGTGCTTAGGTATGGTTAGGAGGGCATTGGCTTTTGTAGGCTGCCCTATCTTTGTTTCCTGGTAAAATACATGGGAAAATCCCATTGGAGGAAAATTCCACTTAGGGTTAGGGTTAGGTCACCATGAACTTGGAGAGCAAAATGGACATCGCCAACAAACTCGGACTGCTTGGTTATGGTTAGGAGGGGACTGGCTTTTGTAGGCTGCCCTATCTTTGTTTCCTGGTAAAATACATGGGAAAATCCCATTGGAGGAAAATTCTACTTAGGGTTGGGTTAGGTCACCATGAACTCGGAGAGCAAAATGGACATCGCCAACAAACTCAGAGTGCTTGGTTATGGTTAGGAGGGGACTGGCTTTTGTAGGCTGCCTATCTGTTTGCTGGTAAAATACATGGGAAAATCCCATTGGAGGAAAATTCCACTTAGGGTTAGGTCACCATGAACTTGGAGAGCAAAATGAACATCGCCAACAAACATGGAGTGCTTGGGTAAGGTTAGGAGGGCACTGACTTTTCTATCCTGCCCTATCCAAAAGAATTCCTGAAGCCACAGACTTTCCCATACTTTATTTAAACAGGTATTTCTTGACTTAGAATTGCCTTAGTGACAATCCAGAGTTGCAATAGGCCACCCAAACGGCATTTACAACGTGATTCCAAAATTCTGATGGCTGTCCACTCCCTTTTCGTCACATAACTGCATTTTGAGCACTTGGAAACATTTACGGCCATTTGCAGTGACCGTGATTTTCCACCTTTTTGCTGAAAACTGGCATTTGCTTCCAGTTTTTGGCCTAACTGCCCCATAGCTTTTGCTTAATGACTGTGGATTTGCTTAATGACTGCCGCAAAAAAAAAAAAGATCATAAATTTGGTTCAGTTACGTGGCGGATGTGCTTTTCAACCGTCATGGTTTACGACAATAATGGGCGGGCTCCATTATGATAAGTTGAGGACTACCTGTATATTTATCATAGTGATTCATTAATAAAGCAGGGTCAGTTATACAAAAGATAAAACAGTGAAGGAAGGCCATTTGCAACAAAGTAGGCAAACTGCCTGGAGAACTCTCTTGTTGAAATCTGTTTGGTTACGTTAAGATACAGGGTTGCAGAATTTCTAAAATTTTGAATTTTACTCCAAACAAGATACTTTACCTGTCTCAACTGAGAAAGAACAGTTCTCACTGACTCCAGTAGTAGATGCAGATTCTCCTTCAGAGCAGCATAATTCTCCGTTTTGTTTCTGACATGTGTAGAAGTCTACACAAGGAAAAACAAAATTCTTAGGCTTTTTTTTTTAAAAAAAATAACTGCAGTTGAATGTGCAATTGACCTGGGCAATAGTTAGGAAATATGCGTATATGGTTTTATTTTAATAAATTCAAAAAAATAAATAAATCTGTAGATAAAACATACATCATTCTCTTTGTCATCCCTGGCTAGCCCTTCTCCCTACTGAGGATTGCTAGAAATTGTGTTGAACTCCCACACAGCAAGACTGTGAAACCCATCCTGCAGCAGATGTGGTTACAACATAATGATTCATATCTCTTCACTGCTGGCTGGAGATGTAGAGCAGTATGGATTCAATGGGGAAAAGGTGTTTCAGAGCATGTAGGAGTGCTGGGGCAGCTCCTGTTGCAATTCCTTCAAGCAGCTGTGCATTTCCCTGAGGTTGCACAGATGGCTATCACGGCTTGGTACGTGATCCAGGTAAAATCTGGTTTAAACAGTTGCAAACAGATGCTACAAGTCCTTTGAAGCCCTTTCCTCTTTTGGGTCAGGCCTTCCATAGCCCAAATCTGGAGGGCCATCTTAACCCTAAGTCTGCCCTATGTCTCTTCGATCAGCATAATGTACTCAATCTCAATTTTGAGATGTCCATTCCTAGTTGCATCTCTATTCCTCACTTTAACCTGAGGGACTCTACCTCATCTCACAGGTAGCAAGACAAGGTGTTTGTGTCCCCATTACAAATCAGCAAATTAGAGACCTTAATCTTTCCTCTTTCGACAAATGGTAAGAACCACAAGCAAGTCAGGTTTCCCTGCTCCTAAAACTAAGTTGCAGTTGTTCACTATACCTCTTTCCAAGGGAGAATCTGTTCCAGAATGAGAGACAGTGGGGGAAGGTTTATAATGTTGATTCGCTTCCCTTTCAGGTTCTTCTACTGGATGTTGAAATTGCTGGTTTAGAACCTCATAATTCATCCCTGCGATCCCAGATCGGTTCATACACATGAGTGACACACCCGAGAACAATATGCTGATTGTTACGATTACTGCAGTAGTAATCACCTGGCCAAAAGAGAAACCGAAAGGAGGAAATTAGGCAGAAGTTAAATGATTATCATTATGATTCATTGCACAGCCAACCAGATGTTTAAACTGGATTTGGAATTTTTATCCACCTATCAAGTCCTTCCCACAGACCTGGGATAGGCAGATGTTGATGTCTAAAGGTGGTAAAAGTATCGTTGCAGGATATAAGCAGTTCTGAGTGAAGCTGCCTTTTGCAACTGACTGATGGGGAATTTGTCAATGCCGATGGTGTTCAAGTGGTGCTCCAGTTGTTTTGGGATTACACCCAAGGCACCTATTACTATTGTTACTATCTTTGCCTTTCTTTTGCTGCAGTCTAAGAGAAGCCAGACTCTTAGAGTTCTTCAAATTTTGGGGAGTAGGTATATAGTCAATTAATTTAATGCCCCCCCCTTTCCAAAGCTACTTCTCTTTATCAAATAATGAGCTTTTGAAAACTCATTAAGCACTGATCAACAAGTGGTAATAAAAGACTTTCCCTACCTGATGTTTACCATAAAAAAATGCTGAGTCAATTTCACCAGTGTGTTTTCCAGCTATCAGAAGAATGCCAACAATAACTACTGGGATGCTGCAAAATGTAAAATACAGTATAAATCATACATAGAATTAGTTTGTGGCATCCTATAAATTTTCTTAGAGATGAACTTTTGCAAACTTACCCCCAGCCAGCTATAGTAATAATTCCAACAGGAATCTTTAGGGTTTCCCTTCTTTTCAAAAGGAGAAGACAAAGGGCTAAAAGGCCTGTTGAAAACAAGGAGAACATCTCAGTCTTATTCTTTTCAGGAAACGATATTTCCCCCCAAAAAACAGGATAGCTCTCCCTCCCCTTCTCTGTCCTGTACTCAGAGGCAGCCACACAACAAGTCTGCTGTACGTATAAGCAATAAAATTAGCTTGTGGGACATAAGAACATGTCTATCATGCAAATCAAAAGCAATATTTCATTATAGGGAATGTCACAATCGGTATGCCTGTATGTCATGACAAGAGTCAGTCAGTATGAATGGAAGAACAATTGGGAGAATTCTATTTTAAATGGGAAATAATTTCTAGGATTAATGTGATATGTAATGTTAATTTCTGCAATCATATCTGTGTAGCTCTTGCAAGTTTTCTAACCAAGTAAACATTTATTCAGAATTGCAAAATATAGAGTGTGGGGAAATAAGTGGCAACTGTTTTCAGACTTTGGGGAAATACTGACCACAACTTTGCTTATTAGAGCTGACATGAGGTTTGGGGTTGCAGGTTTGAGTTCTAAGTAACATACAAGACAAAATTGCTTTTTAAATGCATATCTGATCACCAGCCAGCTGGTTGTGAACATTACAAAAGACAGGCTGTACTGAAGGAATGGGCCCGTGGGAAATCTATAACTCTGATCATATTCATTTCCAGTCCTTTTATCAACTGGAAGTCACTCCCAAGGTGATTCCTTCTATTATGATGGTTAAATGCTTCATTTCTTCTCCATGACACCTGCCTTCCCTTGATCTTCACTTAAGTCCCATTCCCTCAGTGCAAAGGAGGACATCCCTGATCAACTAGGATTGTGGATTATACTTATCCAAGCATAATCCTTCAAGCAAATCTTTATACTACATCCAATGGACTTCTAATCATGTAGTGGCAACCTCCTTGATTCCCCCCCCCCTCCTTCTATAAAGGAATGAACAGGAACAGTTACCAAGACAAGACTCAGATAAAAGAAACCCAAGTCCGGGACAGAACTACAGTCTAAGACAGCCTCTCAGACAAGACTTTCACTAGTTTTTACAAAAATAAAGAGATGAGCCAAAGGGCATTTATACTTCCAAGATTCTGTTACTATAATTCAGTAATAAAAGTAGTACTAGCCTGCATGGACTTTGGTTTCCTAGTGTGGTCTACCATGAAGGATTTAAAAAAGTATCTCACGGTCCAATAATCTATTTGCAGACTTTCATGGGAGATTTTAGGAATGGACATGAAGGTTGAAGCTGACTCAGTAGTGACTGTTTAATTGGTAAAGAGACTAACTGGATGTAAACTGGTATTAAAGCTTATGCTTCAGATAGTATAATCTCCAAGCATTGTCCCTTTAGCATTACATCACGAGTGTCAAATTCGATCGCGTCACATGACGTATCGTGATGCATTGTGATGTTTTTTGCCTTTGCGGAGCCAGGGTGGGCATGGCCTGCATGCAACGCATCCGGCCTGTGGGCTGCCAGTTTGATACTCCTGCATTACACTACCAAAGAAAACATATATTGTTTTATAGGCCAGAAATGACTTTCTACTTACCTGTCCACAGAAAAGCACTATACAGGGAACAGTACAGGACAACGAACACAAGAATCTGCACAAAGATGCTTTTGTTCTCAATAGTGAAATTCCACATTACCATTCCAACACAGGCTACACACTAAAAAAAATCAAAGCAGTTATGTTTAGTGTATATTTTATGACTGAGATGTAACCGAAGAAATCCTAATTAAAATCTCTTGTACAGTAAAATGACTAACTCTGCAAGATTTTAGAAGAGGCAGAGCATGACAAACCTTTCAAACAGCATGGCATCATCTACTGCAGGCAGACCCTTGTCAAATCTTATCATTGTCAATCATTTGAAAGCCCTCTGGTTTTCAAGGAAAAAAAATATTGATATTGTTCAAAATTGAAGCGAGAATAAAGCCCACTTTATTTAAACGAAATAAAGCCAATAAAGATTTCATTCTTTCTTCTTCTTTTTTTTAAAAAAAATATAGGGATTCCACAGATACTTTCTCACAATGTTGCATGTGTTTTGGAGTCTACAGTTTCCATATCAGCATTGTATTGTATAACTTGCTTCTATTTTTTTGAAAAAACAATAGTCCATACTGTTAAAAACAAAACTCCTTTCTCAATTAGCACTAAAATACCAAAAAAGAAAAAGCTTAAATTTTTAGACATGAAAATGTTGCATTTTTAATCAAGGATAACTGGCAGTAATACGAAAAAAGCAAAGTACAGTGAACACAATCTAACTGGAATGGACATTCCCCATTGGCTCTTTTGTGCTGCATCTGCTTAGGTTTTTCCTGATTTGATTCTCCAACTGCAGTCTGTAACCTATGCTTTGTAAGGAACACTCTGTGTGCAGGGGGTGCAGGTGGGGAATTTTCATTGATCTAGACCAGGCATGTCAAACTCGTGACGTCATGTGACATCACACGACGTATCACGACTTTTCCCCCATTGCCGGCAATTGGGTGGGCGCGGTTTCAGTATGATGCATCTGGCCCGCGGGCCGGCAGTTTGATATGCCTGATCTAGACTCTGAACTTACATTACAGGAGAGTCAATATCAGGTATTACATATAGCTTTATTCACAATGTTTCTATAGCAGCTTTTGTTTAAAAAACACCAAAGTGGTGTCACACATTCTTCCATCATGCACCCAATATAAAACACATATAATTCAAAGGCAATAACAAAGTCAAAACCTGCTTGAGCGGAGTGCTTGCATTATATACCTTCTGTTAAAAAAAAAAAAAAGAAGAACACCATCTGCAAACTACAAAACAACCATTCCTGGAAAAAAATGTTTATAGAGATATAATTCTCCATTTCACTGACCTGAGCAATGAGTAAGTTAGTTGTAAGCATATGGGGAAGCTGCTTGTATTTTTTACTCAAAAGAATAACCCCGAGGGACCAGATCTGAAACACAGAGCAAACACAATATAAGGCTTTCACTTCTCTGAAATAATTATAAAATATTCCACCCAGATTTTTATTTCAATGACATTCAAATAGTTTGTACAATTACTGCTAAGGGACTTTCCTTGCCATTAGTGATATTTCCATAACGAGCTCTGGTAGCCTTAAAACAGCTGAAAATCAGTCTCCTCTTTCTGTTGGCATTCTCATTTTTTCTAAGCTAGCTAATTATCAAACTCTTTAAAAATGAAGACTCTGTACTACCTTCAGAGTTTCACAGCCCTAGCCCTTCATCTCTGTGAGAACACTTCCACTAGCCCAGGGGTAGGCAACCTTGGCTCTTTTATGACTCGTGGACTTCAACTCCCAGAATTCCTGAGCCAGCCATGCTGAGGAGAAATGGAGAGGTTTCCATGCTGAGCCATGCTGGCTCAGGAATTCTGGGAGTTGAAGTCCACAAGTCATAAAAGAGCTGAGGTTTGCCTACCCCTGTACTAGCCTGATAAAGAGGTCAAGGTTTTAAAATTCACTCCCAGACAACAATCTTCACCCCCAAACTGAAAACCCTAAGAGGAAAAAAGAGGGTAAGGAAGCAGAGTACAATAAACATTGACTTCTCTTTCTTCCCTTAGCCAAATAAGCTTCTTACTTAATAATCTGGACATGTTTGTTTTTTACCCATTTGTGAAGTAGCAAACAACTTGTTCTTTAGCAAGACAAGGGTCTGTTTAACTGGCAAAGGATCTGAATGGAATTGACCTTTTCTATTGCAAAACACAAGATTCCCCCTCCCAAAAAAAAAGAAAAGAAAAGAAAAGGAAGTCTGGAATCTTGTAGACTGTTGAGCTGTTGGTCACATTATACAGAAGACCAGAACATTTGTGGGTGCACAAGATGGGCTTCTTGCAAAAAGCTGCTGAACAGAAAAGGGAAAAAAAAACACCTCCAATTTCTCTTCTTTTTAAGCTTCTGCTTTTGTTGGCTTCTAGCCAAGATGCCTTGTCACATTCAATAAAGAGGTTCTTTTCCTTCTCAATAAAGACCAGGACGATGCATAACGTAACAGAAATGCAGCATGAATGGTATGACAATTATAAAAAAACAAATCAAAATCTAATAATTTATCCTCACGGTTAGTTTTCTTGGTATTCTTTAAAGTCTTATATTTTACTTATTTCACTGACTTATATTTCATTTCACAAGGGGCTCAAGACAATATATACTGCATTCCCTGCTGTTCCCCCCCACCCCAACAATAATCCTGTGAAGTAGTTCAGCCTGAATGAGAGAGAACGATTGGTTCAAAGTCAACCAATGAGCTTCTGAGGCCAAAGGTTGACAGAATCCGAATCTCCCTTCTCCTTTTCTGACACATTAATCCTCATATCTGTAAAGAAATTTATTTGTGCCCTTTGGAAAGAAGAGGGAGAGGGGAAAATGTTTGCAAAGTAGAAAGCGTTAGAAAGAGATTCAGAACAGTTGCAGCTTCATTTTATTGCTCTGAAAAAAAGGACCATGAAGGTTTTGGACAGGCTTGCAAGATTCTGTGAATGTATCCTATAAGCGATAAGATTCAATTCTTGCCATGACTGTTCTTTGACCTGGCTAACTTAAAGGGCTGACAACATAATTGGGATAGATAGTTCCTATTATTGTGCTTCTCTTCAGGCAACAGACTAAAGTAGAAACCAGTGGCACAATTCTGTACTGTATGTATTTACAAATAATTTAATCCAAACTGCATCTCTGACGCACAATGAATCAATTTGCTCCATTTATGCCCAGGATATGTCCAAATTATCCCCAGTTTAAGAACTACTGCTATAGAGCCTATTTTAAATGGGACTATTAACACCAGTTCTGTCTTACTTTTCCTCCCCATCTTTTGAACACAAAACAGCACAGTTCCGATTAACATGATACTCACCAAAGAGACCAGACTAACAATGCTGATATCAAAGCTAACGTTCTGAATCGCTGCTGCCAGTCTGTCTGGATCCATAGAGGGAATGGTCAATAGCCACGCGGAGACATACATGATGGGGGCAGACACAAAAGTACTGATCACCATTCCAGAAGTTATCTGCAATCACAAATCAAAGTAACTGCACATTTCCATATATTTTTTTACATGCCCCACAAAGGAGTATATTTTCTGTAGTTTTGCTTATTCTCTGTACCAGCTTCCTCTTTGGGTGTTACTACAGAGGTAAGCATGTTAACCTGAAAAATAAAACCAATATTGGATAGGTTGATTACAAAGGCATTTTTATTCTCCCATTTATTTTACTGGGATAGTATCTTTACAGGTAGTTCTTGACTTACAATCACAACTGGGATCAGAATTTCCGTTGCCCAGTTAGGCAGTTAAGTGAGTTTACCCAATTTTATGACATTTTTACCATAGTTGTTAAGTAACTCCCTATGGTTGTTAAGTGAATTATGGCCATTAAGCGAATCCAACTTTCCTCATTGACTTTGCTTGTCACAAGCCAGCTGCAAGTGCAAGGACCAGTAAGTAAGTCCCTTTTTTCAGTAGCGTTGCAACTTCGGTCACTAAACAAATGATTGTAAGTTGAGGATTACCTATATATGTACTTCCTTTTGCATGTATACCACTTCCGCTTACTCTAGTATTAAACAGAGAAAGTATAGATGCCCCTGTAATCTTGAGGAATGATTACCATTACTTATTTCTTTTCCTGGCCTAAAAAGCTACTGAAATATTTAAGCAAAGATTGCGCCATCTGAAACCGAGATTTCTGGAGTCTTCTGCCATTTAAAAATTATCCTGGCATATTTTTCACTGGCTGTCAAGATTAAGAATTGCAGCTTTTAATAGCTATGCATTATTTCAGGGAACCACAGAAATTCTGCAGCTAAGAGAAGCAACAATGACATTAGTATTAACACTGTCACCGAACAATTTATGGCCAGGAAATATACATTTTTTGTTGTTCATAACAAAGTGTTAATAACCTGATCATCTCAAATGAAAACATTCCACTTTGGGAGATTTATCAGAGGATTCTTTTTAAAAAAAAAAAATGCTTGCTTTGAAATCTTTTTTAAGGTCAAAATCTGAAGATTGTCCATAATGTCTTACATTACATCTGCTTAAACAGGTGTTGTAGCAGTGTAATAACAGCCAAAGAACACAGGGATGGGAATGCATAAAGCAATAGCAGCCTATTCCAATGGCAATTTTCTTCACCAATAAACTCAGAAGTTGTAATTGAATAATAAGGAATGCTATATCATGAGTCCTCCTTCTTTTTTACTCTCCAAAGGGAAATCCAATAAATCCAATAGACAAAGGCTCTGGTTATTTTTTAAATTATTCCTATTTAAGTACCTTTTGTCTCCAGAGTTAAATGTTTTAATATGAATCATGAGTCTGAGTCAGGTTTCACTCAAGCAAAATTAACTGCAATGGAAGTTAAATGGAAAAATGCAAATTTAGATTGAAAGGTATCAACTTTAATGCTACTTAATGTCAGGTTATACAGTTTTTCCCCCTGAGACTTCCGAAAATAATCAGTTCTTTTACCCACCCAGAAAATTAATTCCAAAAATGAACTTCAAAACAGATGCATGCAACTTCTGAAATATTCATCGGCATATTTAATTATTTTCTAAATAATTAAGATTGCTATCATTTTTCCTCAACTTGAAGAAGCCAGTAAAATAGCACAAAGAAATGATAGATAGTCGACTTATAACTGCAACTGGGACCCACCGGATTTCTGATTGTAAGTCATTTTGGTTGTGAGTCACCCACATGACCAGACCCAATTTTATGACTTTTTTTTTGGTGGTGGCTGCAGTCATTAAGCCAACGCTATGGTCATGTGAATCTATTCATCCAAATGGGTGTTTTTTGGCTGGAAACCGGCAAAAAAGTCATGAATTGCAGTCACATAACCATGGAATGCTGCAACCGGTCAGTTGCCAAGCACCTCAAATGTAGACATGTCACTACAGGGCATGATAGTGGAGTGGCATGACCTTTTACAACAGTCAGAAGTTCTTTATGACTTGTAAAGCTCCTGTTCTGGACTCATTTTAATTTCAAACAGTTGTTAAGCAACCAGTCATATGTCAAGGACTACCTCTAATTATGTAGAAAAAAATATTTAAGAGACATACAACTTCTACTTCCATGTTAAACTGTGTTGCAAATATAGCCACACCCGGAGCTGTTGGAAAGATTCCATAGAGAAATGCATAGTTGGATAAACTGGTATGGTTGACCAAACTCTGGCTCTTGTCTAACAATTCCACCATTTCCCGGCATAGAAGGGGCATCAACAGCCTAGAATAAAGACAGAAAAACAAAACAAAAATGAATTATTCATCTGAAAAATTTAGGGCCCTAAATTAAAAATTATTTTTTCAGTGAATCTTCTCTACGTAGGTCAACATATGGACTTAATTCTAAATGTAATACAGGCAGTCCTTGACTTACAACCATTCATTTAGTGACTGTTCGAAGTTACAACAGCACTGAAAAAACTGACTCATGACTGTTTTCCACACTTACGACTGTTACAAAATCCTCATGGTCATGGCAACTGGCATGTATCTATGACAACTGCATTCTGGGATAATGTGATCATTTTTTGCGATATTCTGACAAGCAAAGTCAACGGGGAAGCCAGATTTACTTAACAACCATGTTACTAACATAACAACTACAGTGATTAATTTAACAACCACGGCAAGAAATATTGTAAAATGGGGCAAAACTCACTTAACTGACTTGCTTAGCCACAGAAATTTTGGGCTCAATTGTGGTCATAAGTCAAGAGCTAACTGTAATAATAGTAATAGTAATAATGATGATGATGATGATGATGATGATGATGATGATGATAATAATAATAATAATAATAATAATAATAATAATAATAATAATGTTGGAAGGGACCTTGGAGGTCATCTAGGCCAACCCCCTGCTCAGGCAGGAAACCCTATACCATTTCAGACAAATGGCTGTCCAGTCTCTTCTTAAAAACTTCCAGTGTTGGCGCATTCACCACTTCTGGAGGCAGGTTGTTCCACTGATTAATTGTTCTGTCAGGAAGTTTCTCCTTAGTTCTAGGTTGCTTCTCTCCTTGATTAGTTTCCATCCGTTGCTTCTTGTCCTGCCCTCAGGCGCTTTGGAGAATAGCTTGACTCCCTCTTCTCTGTGGCAGCCCCTGAGATATTGGAACACTGCTATCATGTCCCCCCTCGTCCTTCTCTGTATTTTAAGGAGCACTGGTTTTGTAGCCTTCATATTTGCAATCCAAGCACAAAGTATTGGAAGATTCTTACCATCTAATAATTTTACATTTCTATCATGCAATCATAATAAAAAGGGCAAGCAATTTTTTCATAATCTGAAATAAAATGGTTCGGTCCACTTGTTGGAAACTTATTTTTTTTAGTTCACAACAAAATATTTAAGATTTAATCCCAACGCACAAAGAAACACAAGGAAGGAAACTTACAGTTTAGCCGTGATGAGAAGAATTAGTGCAACAAATGTACCCCTTGTCAGTTTTTTTATTTGGCCAACCATGGTGAGACCCAGGTAAAAAAGGGCCGAGCCAGAAAATGAATTGGCAAGACTATCAAGGAAGTTTTCCAAATATACAGGAATCTTTTGTTTAAGGATGTAATTGGAGGCAATTCCTATGAAGACCATAAACACAATTGGATTCTGCAGCACGTGAAGAAGCCCAAGTCCTACGATTTTCATTTTGCTGTGAGAGAGATTCCGATTGTCTTTTGATTTCTGGATTTCACAGAAGATAAACCCCAAGGGGTTTAGCATCATAAGCGATATTGGTGCAACCAGGTAAATATACTGGAGATACTCGGGATATGTATTTTGATACAAAGCTTCAACTAGAGAAAAAAGAAAAAGATTGTGGAAAGCAGTTAATTATACTGGATATGCCTTTGTTCTCACATTTTTAACTGCCGTGCATAGAGTAGATGGAATTATTATTGCAACACTTAAGTTATTTCACCCATAGCAGCTTCCTTACTTAAAGTAATACTCCAGAGCTTCATATATATAGCTTATCCAAACAAAGTACACTCACTTATCAATTTTCTTTTTTAATCATCAAATTTCAGTCATTATTCTTAATGATTTGCACCACTACCAGATGTTTCTTTTGGGACAAATGGATAAGCAATTAGAAAAAAGTCATGGAACTTAGTTTTTATATATGACAACTGCAGCAAGACTATTATAAGTTCAAAAGTGGAAAGATTTGATGCTACATACAATGAAGGAATAGTTGGGGAAGATGATGAAATTGGTGGAGATGGTTAAATTAACCTGTTTGATTAGAGAGAAAACAACATCTACATTTATTGCTGATTGGAAACCCCTAGTAGACTTTTTGCATGAAATGGAAAAAAAATGCAGTTATGATTTATGCATTGATGATTAGGAAAAAAACTGGAGAGAAGAGACAGGGTTTTTTTGTAATTGTAGAGTAAAAAAAGATTGTAATTGTACATGTATTTGAAATCAGAATTTATTTCTATTCTTTCTTTTGCTTTGCTTTTTTCTTTTTGTTCTTTATTGCTTTTTCTCTATATTAGTTATTGTGCTAATTTTTATGGTTCTTTGTGAACCCTTTAATAAAATTTATTAAAAAAACCCAAGTTCCTTGTGTTAGCTAAGGCTGATGAAAATTACAAGTAGCTCATGACTTACAACCAGTTACTTAGCGAGAGTTTGAAGTTAGGATAAACCTATCAAGGGGCTACTTATGACCCAGATTCAAAGTTCTGACAGTTGGTCCTCGCATCAGTCATGTGATTGAACTTCAGGTGTTTGGCAACCAGGCTGTATTTATGACTGTTCATACTGTCTAGCATTCACTTCCAGTTTTGGGCAAAACTACATGCATAGTGAACCACTGGTTCACTTAGTGACTGCAGACTTGCTTACTGACTGTAGCAGCCGTTTAATAACCACATCACTTAATGACCACCAAAAAAGGTCATAAAATCAAATTGATTATGTGATCAGTGAGTTTTATAACTGTCACGACTGTCAATCAAAGACTACCTTTATAACCCAGTGCACTTGGCAGGCAAAACTATTGCCATGACAATTCAAGAAAAAATATTGCTCCGCCAATAATTGAAAAATCCTATTTGCTGAGGAAAGACATGGTCCTACCTAAGTGTTTTAAAAGCCTTTGACAATACTGAATGGCCTTTGAATTTTAAAATCAGATTTGGACTTGTTTTGAGAACAGTTATATAACTCCATCTACTTAGAACCTTTGTAGGCAAGCTTGAAATGTGATACAACATTTTAACTATTATCTAATTAAAATAATCAACGTTTCCAAAACAACACATACATTGAGATGCTGAATGTGCTTAAACATCTAGATAAGAGTCTTGCCTGGACAGGATTTACACATGGGAAATTGCTAAAGTGTCTGACATTTTTTAAATGCAAAATCTTTCATACTTGAAGTTGTTTTGTGGAGATTGAAATTGATTATTCTATATTTAGTTGAAGTGTTCCAATGATACACTATTCTGAAAGAATTTCAATCTTAAAATAATTATTTCAAATTCAAAACAGCATTTTTTGAATCTGAAGCAAGCAGTTTGAGTGTTAAATGGGTTTTTTGAGCTCAGTACACTTCTGGAATATCAGAAAAATTCCAGAATATTTCTAATAAGGTCAGAGTACAGCCCAAAACACAAAATGGAGTATTTTGCACACTGTTACAACATTATCCCCTGCAGAAGGGATGGAATTCCAGCTTTTATCAGTTGGGCATTCTGTTACAGAATCTCTTTTTCAGAAGATAGGAGGACATTTTGAACAATGGAGAGAAGCAACAGGATATACTTACAATGTCATTATCTTGCCTTTGTTTATAGATAATTGAAGGTGGCAAATATACCCAATACTCCTGCCTCCTCCTATTTTCCCCACAATAATCCTCTGGTGTAGATTGGGCTGAGAGAAAGGGACTGGCTCAGTCACCCAGCTACTTTTGTGACTAAGTGAAGCCTAGAAATCACAGATTCCAAATTGGCCCTCAATTGCATATTTTATTGGCAAGATTGACTTTTGCCCTGCCAATAATTGAAAAATCGTATTTGCTGAGGAAATATATGGTCCTACTTAAGTGTTTAAAAAAAGCCTTTGACAGTATTGAATGACCTTTGAATTTTAAAATCAAATTTGGACTTGTTCTGAGAACAGTTATATAACTTCCTCCACTGACGACCTTTGTAGGCAAGCTTGAAATATGATATAACATTCCATTAACGATAATCTTGTTTTATAACCCTGCTCTTTCTCTTAATGAAATGGCCTTTGTATCATCTTACAGCCAATGATAGAGACTGGTTAAATCTTTCATATCCAATCACAGAGCAGCTGACACAGAATCACTGTCATCAAAACACACTTCCTAGCCAGGAAAACAATGATGTAGATAAGTTCCTGGCTTTTAAATTTGTAACATTGTCTTTCATCTTTAAGTCTAACAAGTAAATATTTAATTAAATATCAATTTGGCCATCTTCCCTATTGTCCTGATCACTGAATGCTTTCAACTCAAATGTCTATTAGTCCTCTTGGCCATGCTGATAGAGATGATAGGATCTGTATCCCAAATCTCTCAAGAATGTCTCTCTGACCTTGATGCTTGCTCCTGTATGCCTTCAAACACCTCCTCTGAAGACTATTACATAGCCACAATAAAGGTTTTAAGTGTTGGGAGGAAAATTGAGTGGGAGCAACATTATTACCCTCTCACTAGTTCTTCATATCTATAAAGTCATAAAGTATTTGTATTTCTTTTTAAAACATATGTTGCATTTGATTGCAATTAGTTACTAGATTGCTAGATATATTAGTCTATTTTTTTAAAAAAGAACATTTAACTATATATGTATAAATTAAAATAAATTTTAGCAGATTTAATTTAATAATTTAATTTAATACATTGACTTATATGCCGCCCTTCTCCCCACGGGACTCAGGGCGGCTCACAGCATATTAAAACAACATAGCACATTTCCCCAATAAAAGCCAATTAAAACCAAATATTTGTAGCTGTGTCTCTTATTATTAAAAATCG